ATCCATAGGAAATCTAATAAGTTGTTCAGCTTATTCAGCTGCACAAACTTAAATATAAGGAGAATTATATTTTTATAATTTGAACCCTTAATCCAAAATAGGTAGGACTGAGTTATTTTGAATCAGTCTGTCCCTAGTATGCCACCGTCCCATACCGGTGCATACAATCCACAAAATCCATATAATTGATTAAACAGATAAAACTGTTCACCAATTAAAATCCATAAGGTATGAATTAACGTTTTGAGCTAAACCATACCTAGTATGTCACTGTCCCATACTGGTGCATACAATCCTCCATATCCATGTAAATTACAACATATAAATAATCAGCAAGTAATTTACAGTCCAAAACCAAATATCCAAATAACTGCAGAATAGTGTATGTGATACTACAACATGTACAGTTCAAACCAATAATCTAATTAATTGTAGAATAATATATAAGAGTCCACAATTAACATCCAAACCATGTAAATTACAACACATAATTAACAGTTTAGCAATTTACAATCCAAAACCCTCCTAAATAATTGTAGAAGAGTATTTAGTATTTCAACAATTTAAATCCAAGAGTTAAACCATAAAGTTGCAGGAAACAATTAATAATTCGGCAACTACCATCCAGAGCATACATAGATCAAATCTAATATATCAATGACTCTATCAAGCATTAAAATAAATTCTATAATCATATTATAGTCCAATAAATCACTACATTAATTTAAGTAATTTAATTCCTTCCATCCGGTAATAGCGTACTAAGTTGTATACTTGTATTCTATCTTATCTTTTAGCACAGAGGCATGCCCTATGCCCCAAGCCCAATTTATTAATCTAAAAGACTTCACTGTGCTTTTAATCTTCATTTAGAATCATCATATAGCACCCTAAGTTGTCAAATTAAAATTAGACAACAAATCTCCTTCCAGCCGTTAACCGTACGCACAATTGTTAAATTAGCGTATTGTTAATTTCATTCACTTAGAGGTCAACCTTACTCAATTTAAGGACTTAATAACTCTCAAAGCCAACCCTCTAATCCCTCTATAAAACCCCAGAGTCAACAGAAACGTTCCCATGCTCCAACAGTATCCAAACAGTTCGTAGAAAAAAAAATTCAGAAAACTACTATTTGAAAGAGCCTGCTCTAAATTCCAAGAGCAGGCTCTTTTTTGAGCCTGGAGCCAACTCTAAGAATGTAGAGCCGGCTCAATGAGTATGGGAGCCATCTCCCACATCCATGGAGCCGGCTCTCACCTCCTTTGAGAGCCTCTGTCCCCGTTCTGCTCCGTTCTGACTTTCTGCTTCTTCTCCGGCATGTTTCTGCCCTTCAGTTGGTTTCAAAAACTGATCCTAAGGGTCTTATTAATATCCACTAGCATCCCAAAGGTTTGATTTTAACCATTTAAATCAATTACATAGATCAAATTTGCTACCGAACTAGACATGCTTTAGGGACAACACTGAAACTATTTTGCAACCACAGCTCCATTCCAACCCCTTTGTTCCTCAATAATACTGAACCTAAGGTCTTCTATCACCCCATTAATATCCCCATGGTTCGTTTATAAAAGATGGAAGCAAGTACAGTAACAAACATTACAACAGAACTTAATATGCTTTTAAGAACAAAACTGGGAGCGGTTAATACATGAACTGTAAACAGATTTGAATTTACGACAAACAGATCATTCATATAACATATATTAAACATATAACTTCCAGTTATTGATTGATTAAACCCTAGAGATTATCTAGGTGCACAGAACACGAGCCAAAGAGAAGGAGAAAGAGAAGAACTTGCCTGTGATTTCAGTTATGAAATCCCTGCGTCGTCTCTAAGTTTCCGGCAACTACTAACTTCCTTCAAGCCTCCTATGGGTGTGATCTAATCCACCACAACCCTCCTTTAACCCTCTCTGTTCTTGTCCTTGGTAGCTCTTACCATTGCCTCTGTTCTCTCAACTCTCTCTCTGTTACGTTCGATTTTTACTGTGTCGTGAATAGGGTTCTTCCAAAACCCTTAGTGAAACTCATACACGTATATATATAGGCCTTTAGAAAACCCTAATTAAACTAGAGCTAAGGCAGAACCCTAATTAAACTAGAGTCGGCCCATAAACTTAAGTCACATACACGTTAAATACTTGTATGACGGCTCCAAGAAACCCTAACTGAAAACTGTTAATTCAACTTCTACTTAAGCACTTATTGAAGACAATTAAATAATTAACCAAATAAGGCATTTAAAATACAATTTAAAATAAAACAAACAATACAATTACTCAGATAACTAAACAAACCATAATTCAAATAAAGAAAATAAGACAATTAAATAATTAACCAAATAAGGCATTTAAAATACAATTTAAAATAAAACAAACAAAATACAACAATTACAAAATCAATAGACAAAAATGCACATAGAAAGAAATTTAAATTCCAGTTTTATCCTTTTTAATTTTAGGGGTATTACACTAGGCATGATATTCGCACTGCTACCCGAATCGACGAGCACTCTTCATACTAAGCATTCTGCTACTGTCAAACTGACAACCAAGGGATCCTCATGCGGAATCTGAACTTGCATCAGGTCTATCTTATCGAACCTTATCTGCACGGCCGAACTTTGTTGGTACAGGGTGTTGACACTGCTTACTCGCCTCTTCATTTACGCTTGGTGGAGGCGTGTTAGGAGCAATTCCTCGAATTCTGTGGTCTACTCGGGTCAGCCATGGATTGCGTTGATAATTCATAAGGGCTGAGCGTTATGGTGGTTTGGTTTTTGGTTTCTCTTGACCTGCTCAGCTGGACGATTTTGCTCTTGCGCCGGCCCTTGAACATACCCTGCAAACTCGCCTCTGGCGATCAACATTTCCACTTGCCTCCTCAAAGTCCTGCATTCGTTAGTTTGATGACCAAAATCACTATGAAAAGCACAATGTTTAGCTTGATCCCTCCGCTCGAGAGGTTGTCTGATTGGTAAAGGAGGACGAAACTTATCTTTGTTTTCTTGGTAGAGCCTCACCAATGTAACTTTGAGTGGGGTAATCAGTTCATCCTTTCTGGGCCTTTTCTCTACCTTCTAGGAGATCTGACGCTGTGGTGGGGGTTGTTTTTGCCGAATCTTGGCTTTGGACTTCTCCTCTATGGAGGTGATAGATGTCTTCCTAGCGTTAACTTCTTCCTCTTCTTCCAGACGAATGAAACCATCAGCTCTCTCGTTCAGCTCGTCCATCATCTTTGGTGTGTTTACCACCAGACTTGTATGGAACGGAGTCCCTCAGGTCATTGCTAGCTTGAACACTTGAACGGCTGTTGATGGATGACATTCCATAACCATACTTTTAATGAGGTTAAACCTGGTGAGAAAGGCCTGGAGCCGCTCATCCTCATGTTGCTTCATTGTAAACAAACTTAACACATCTTTTGTCGGATGTTTATTTCCATAATACTGACTTATGAACTTATCACACAACTTTTGAAAGCTAGCAATTGAACCTTGAGCCAAGTTCTTGAACCAATTGAGGGCTGGGCCAGCTAAGCTCGTTGGAAAGCACTTGCACATCAGTAGATCGTTGTTCATGTTCAAAGCCATTTTCAACTGAATATGGTAAATGTGATCAATTGGATCGGTTGTTCCATCAAAAAGAATGAACACAGGCATAGAGAACTTCCTCGGATTCGGAGCGTTCAGGATCTTGTTAGTAAATGGAGAGGCAACTGTTCTTGTAGACGAACGAAGCGCCTCATTCTCCCTTAAAAATCATGATGGAACCCTCGGATCCGCCGACCTCTCGTCGGAACTCTTATAACCATAGGTCAACATTGAAGGACGGTAGGGCGGATCGAACGACCTCTCCTCCACAAATCCTCTCTGCCATGGCGACAAGGTTCTGTATTGATCGACCTCTATTACTTCATCACCTCGCAATCCTCCATGATTTGGATCAAACGCTGCGGCTCCTTCTCGCGTGACTCGCTCGCGGTGCGGATCGTGGTGGACAGATCCCTCCCTATCCTCCATCTGTCGGAGGTTAAGAAGTAGATCAACTTGCACCATCTCGTTGCGGTGAGGATCCATGCGACGTTCCCCTTCTAGATCGTCATGATGAGCAGCATTGGACGGCGCAACTGCTTCAACTATCGGAAATGGCCTTGGAACTGCAGGAGCCTCACGACGCTCCATCCCAGCTCGTAGTTCGGCGTTCTCTTTTTGTAACGCATCAATCATATTCATCAACTCATCGAGCTTCGACTGCTGGCCATTATCCAATAGATTCGAGCTCTCTCCTCCAATCATCATGCCAGATCGAAGCAAAATTATCTGTTAGATTGGAGCTTTGCTAATACAAACGCACTAGATGCAGACTCAAGCTCAGTTGAATTCTGACTGTAATTGACCGGATCTGGATTGCTCCAATGACAAATTCAACAAACTCAGTAATCTCTATTGATCTCAACCACACAACTCATCAGAACAAACGCAAACCAGAGCTGTGCAAGTGACCTATCGAGCTTTCCAAATCAAACGGAATCGAGATTCGGTAACACAAACTGTGATTTCACCGATCACGACTCTGCCTTTAGCGATCTAGCTTCGTCCTAATGAACTATTCTAGATCGAATCAAGCTGAATCTAACACTCATCAATATTCTTCATTTCCCACAGACGGCGCCATTAAAGATGCACGAATTTTCTCTCTCTAAATTGACAGAGTTTCATTACACTTCAAAAATTTCAATCCTCCATTCCTCCTTTCTCCTTTCTATTTATAGACAATTTGCATTATTCTAGAGCATTCTTAACTAACTTCCGCCGCTGGGCCTATCCTCAAGGTTAAATGGTTATGGGTTTGAATCCTCTTTGAAGTCCTTTTTTAGTCAATCCACAACACTCGGTCTACTTTGTGGACGTCAAGTTTGGGCCCATGTCAATTGTTAGGCCCAAACTTTGTTATGCGAGCTGGATCTGGCCCGAGCCGTCTTTGGCATCCTCACTGTAATGTTCTGAAAATATGATTGAGAGCTTCCGTTGGTAATTCATTGAAAGCTTTTTCTACAGCATCAACCAGCTCATCGACTGTTTTGGGAGCTTGTTGGTACTGAAGTGACTGGATCGCTCTAAAAAACCCAAGATCAAGCACATTCAAATCCGGACTATTTGGAGGTTGAAATGATAAGCGTATATCAAACCCATCTTTGGCTGCATCTTCTAAGAATTTCGTATCCAAGGGATTTACATGTGGTTTTGCATTATCCTGTTGAATAAAAATTGTTTCCTTTGTACTACAACAAGGCCATTAATATTTGGTAAAACTTTCTCAATTAAACATGACTGAATTACCTCTTTAGTCACCGACCACATTGGTTTCGTCTTTAACGTACCGGCCACATGATTTTTGCTACTTTGTTTGGCATGAGCCTTGCATGTAAATGGATAAATTCCAATCTTTCCCAAGAACATTTCATTACGAGATGTATCAAATCGTGGCCTAGCAACAGCTGCTAAAAACATGACCTTTGTAATGAATCGCTTGCTCTTACAAGTGCGTACGGGTTCAGCTTCTTCCGGAAGAAGATAATATTTCTCTAATTCTTTAGACATATAAAACCACTTTTCATCAATGTGGACATGGTTAAACATATTGCAGAAAATTGGCATATTGTGAAGACTAGATGGCTCAAGCATTGACAAACAGTATATAAGCCTTGCCTTTTGTTTTCTTCTAATAAATACGGCGTCAATGCATTTGAATGCGGTCTAATAAAACCCTCTTTGATTCTTCTATGGAGTGTTGATTTAGCAACTTGCATAGCAAACGATAAAGATCGAATGTTTGTTTGTTGCCGAAGAGGAATTTCTGAGACTTTACTGCAATCAATTTGTACCCGCTTGCGACCAACTCTCTTCGGCTTCTTGTTGGATACATCAACTACAACCCCATTTGAGAAACTTGTCATTGCTTGCAGCCAAATTCGTTGAACTGTTCTTACGCAAACAGAAAACATTTTTGCCGTGGCACTTATTGAGCCCTTTTTTAATTTTCCATTTTCACTTTTCTTCAACAGAACTGCAAAAATTGCTTGGCGTTCTTCATTAGTTAAATTTTTTCTGGCGTCGGGCTAAACAAAATTTGAACTTGATAACATTTCCATCTTAAATTTGAAACCTAAGTAGTGCAAAGAGTAAAGAAAGAGAACCGAGGAATGATAAGCATGAGATTTAGTTGGATTGTGTTAAAGAAAAACAATCTAATCTATTCAATTTGAATTTGTAAATAAGCGCACATTTGATGAATTTAGTTTAAAACACGGAGTACTCTGTATTGCATGTTGGCGCCAACATTTAAGAAACTCTGATGAAAATTTACTACATTAAGTGGTCTGGGTGAAGACGAATTTTTGTACAGTACTGGTAAATTACTACAAGGGCATATTTGAAAATTCATCTCATACTACTATAAAAATAAATAAAATAAATAAAAAAAAAAATCATAAAAAATAACTCTTATAAAGTTGTATTCCCCTTAAGCCGACACTCTTTGCGGGACTGAGGGAGTATATATATTATAATGACAGGTATAGATCCAGGCGGCCACATCTCTATGCAATTACGGCTAAGGGCAAGACACTGCAGCGTAATTAATAAATTGGCGGTGGTCGTCGGTGATGGGTGGTGGTGGATATTCATGGTCTTGTGGACAGTGGTGGTTTGGAGGGAGTGAAGATGCAGAACCAGAGGTTGTGGTTGGAGTCGACGGCGACGTCTGAGGTCTTGTCGCCTTTGATGGGCTTGGAAATTTGGAATTTGGTGGAGCACTGACGTGGAGGAAGCCACCATCACCGTCGACGGCGTTGGGTGGAGCTTTGACGTTGCAAGCGTCGTATTTCAGCGCGTCGAGGTGCCTATCGGGCTGGCCTGCATGAATGAGCGATGAGTGGTAAGCCTAGGCTGAATTGAATTAACAACTCCAAATAGAACTACGAAAAGTTTCCTCAATGGAGTCCATGTTCTGGCCCTTGTGGATTGAATCGTTGCGAACGAGGTTATATTCACATGAGAACTATATGATTTGTTAACCAAATGATAAACAAACAGTCTCCTAAGAAAGTGGAATTTGAGCAATGCTATTAGACTACTACAACTTGTCACATTTGATCAGTCAATCACTGTAGTTGGTCATTTTATCTTTCATTTTGAAACACAATGATTGTAATATTTTGTATGACCAAACCACAAAGATAATGCATATTCACCAAACAGGCAGTAATGATATAGGAAGGCTGTGACTAATGATTTTATTTTATTTTTTAGTTCACAGAACTTTACTATCAACAATATTGATTGGTTTTTTCCATTTCAAAGAGAATTGTTTTCAACAATTGAGATATTTATGCTTTAAGTAGACCTAAAGAGTAAAGATGGCATTGTAATAATCAAGCTGGATCACCATGGTCCTCTGTTTTAGAATTTATTTACCCCACTGGACTGGTTTGATATTTGATGTCCTTTTCTATATTATGATGAATCCTCCTTCCAATAGCTTGGTAATTGCCATCTTAATAATAAGGAACTGAACTCAAATAGTTCAAATGATTAAAAGTCTTCCATATCTTATCCTCTAGTAATTAATATTTTGAGTGACTACGGAGGAAGAATTAGGTTCTTCGTGAATGGTCTGCTATTAGTTTGTTCACACAAAATGGGTTTATATATATAAACAAAATGGGTATATATACATATGTATGCATATATAGTTTTAGTAATATTTTAATCTTTTTATCTAATTCTTAGGTTAAAGAATTGTTTTGACAAAGTCAATGGGTATTTTGATCATTTTATATTATGTCATAACTGTAGGAGTGTAAGTAAAAAATGAAACAAAAGTTTATAATGTAAATGATAGTTATTTTCGAAAAATATTTGAAGGTAATATTTGATCAAACTTAAGGGGTGTAAGTGAAATTAATTCTAATCTAATTTATAAATGTCGACCTCCTAAACGGCATAATAAACTTGAAAACATAAAAAAAAAAAAAAAAAAAAAAAAAAAAAAAAAAAAAAAATTATCTTTAAAAAAAGATATTTGAATATTTATCAAAAAAAAATTGATAACATGAGAATGACATGTGACCAGAAATATATTTTATTATTAAATGAATATTCGGACTTATCTTTATTGGAGAGATTTTAAGTCAAAATTGAAGCCCAATGTACTGTCCCAGTCAATGGTCATGTGGGTTCGTAAAATTAAATGGTTATGAGACACGTAGATTGTAGATGTGATATTAGTGAGTCCGCTTCTTTTGCATAAACGTTGGTAAGTGATAACCTGCGCCGGTGGTTTTGAGCACATATTATTTAACAACATAAATCAAGGGGCGAAAATTTATTTGTCCCCAAATAACTCTAAAGTAAAAGATGTTATTCACATCAATATCCAATCTCTTACTTTTCGACCAACCCGTTTGCGCTCTAAATGGGGATGGCCCCAAACAACAATTGTTTGGTGGTTTCTTTCACCACATTCAATTAAAAAAGTCAGTTGTAAGTTCATCCCTTGACGGACCAACATCCAAAGTCTTCGTAATACTCCTACCCTTTCAAAATAAATATTCACCTTTATATTTTTTATTGTTCTAAAATACTTAAATTTATTCTCTTAAAAAAATTGGATTTAAAAAAACAAAAAACATTTATTTTAGAAAGGAAGTAATATAGCCTTTTTCTTTCTTGGCCTTTGCAGTCTCATTAATTAGATATAACTTCTTACCATTTATGTGAGGACCATTGGATGTAACTTACGTACAATTTATTTATTTATTATTATTAGTATTTTTTAAATTCAGACTATAAATCTATCCTATTTTTTTATCCAAATGTAAATAGTAACCAAATTTCTAGGATACTGTATAAAACATCTTTCCTATTGAAAAAAATAACACAAATAATCAACATTGCTTTCCAAACAAACATCTTCCATGTCTCCAATATTGGATGTCAAATATGTGATGGACAGTGGATAACACCGAAGTGTGAACAGAAGTGTATCAACCATAGATTTGAGAATAGCCAGATAATCTGTCTAATGTTGTTGGAACAGGGATTGTGAACTATAGGTTTCGTCTTCCTTGTTTGATGAACTATGGATTGGTCCAATGGTTGTCAACTAATAGGATTCAAAATTGTTTTTGTTTTCAGGTCTCGAGTGTTGTTTTTGAGATTTGTTGACACCAATAAATGTATTGTGACCATTCTGGACTTTCTTTAGAATCACCGAACAAACACCTTGAAATGCATTATGATTGAAAGCCGAACTCACACCAACTAATGGGATATCCATTCCAAGCCTTTCACAAATTGGGAAATGATTTTCTTATAATTTATAGAAACTCTGGTGAGAAATTATACTCAATGGAGACTTTAAACACCAGATTGTGTACTTATTTCTTGAACTTTATCAAAAATAATAGTCTAGTAGTAGTTTCTCGCCTTTCAAAATATAAGATTGGGAGTTTATGTTTACGTCAAAGCATATAGGTGTATTTCTTATTGAACTTCATCCGAGCAATCGGTTATTTTATATCAAATACTTTTTATATCATTCATGATGTCGTAGTAAAAAATTAAGGGTTCGAGTTTACTTAGGAGCACGTGTATATATACTTAATAAACTTCGTTTTAGCCATCGGTTCTTGGATATCAAATACTATTTTTATCATCCATGATGAGGATTCTACCCCTAATTTCATGAGCTTTTTATACCGGTAACATCATCTGATTCATCTCTCATATTTTTCCCATTTGTAATAAAACATTCTAGAAGAATTTTGATAATTTCAATAATTTTGTTTTATATACTTTGATCGCCCAAATTCACACTTTACAATGAAAGTTTATTAATTATTATTATTAATTTAGCCACAATTAATCACAATTCTGACTTAGTTTAGGTTTGCCGAACATCACAGCTTGTATTTCTACAAAGACAAAATTGATTTTATTTTCAACCATTAAATTAAAGAAAATAAGGTACACGTGCAATTTAATTTCATTAAAAATATATTATTATAATATCAGCCTAAAAAACAATACTAATATACAGTAATAATTTAATGGGTTAATTTCACTGACACCCCCTCAGATTTGGTCAAATATCACTCTCAAATATCTTTCGAAAGTAACTATCATTTAAGTGCATTTCTATTTTTCCATAAAAGTTTTGTTAAAAATATAAAAAAAGACAACTTTACCCCCCTTATTTTTTTAATCCTATTTATCTCAAAGTATCACATTAATACATAGCCCTCCGTCCCAAAACCGGTCGACCCCTTATGTTTTCAGTCGACATGAAGTGCAGCGCTTCCATCGGTTGACACCTTCTGAATCCGGTCGACATCTTCTTGAAAACCAGTCGACATCTAGCCTTAAACCGGTCGACGTTTTTAAGTGGTTCGGTTGACACTTTCTCAAACTGGTTGACACTTTGTGAAAACTGGTTGACACCTTGTTTATCTAGTCGACATAAAAAGCTCTGCTTCTTGATTTTGGCTACTGGAGTGATTCGGTTGACATCTCCTTTGTACATGTTGACGTGAAGTTCTATTACTCTGCATTTCAATTTTTCTTTTCTCTGTTTTGACTTTGATAAGCAGGATAGTATGTGTATGTGTATGTGTAAGTGAATATATATGTGTATGTATGATAGAATGACTTAAGCTTATTCATCAATACTTTGACAGATTGTCCTAAACCCCTCACCATCCTATCTACCCCTCTGCATGTATTGATCATGAGCTCCTTGTGATATTTAGAGGTTTTTGTTCCTTTGAGTATGGTGATCAGTCATGCCATAACTTGTCCTTGCGCTTGTCCTGCTCTAGAATTATTCCTTGCATAAAAACTTAATTTAAGGCATTAGTATAAAACTTCACAATTTGTTATCATCAAAATAAATGGACTGTGATTCGGCATATGGCTAACAATATCTACCTTCCTAGCATCTGAA